GTTACACTAAAAACCCCTGCCTGCGTGGGAATCTTCTAAACTCAGCAATGTTTAACACAAAGCTCTATCACCTGAGTCCTTCCACATAGCAGTTTGAAATGATGTTGCTGAGTTAAAGATTTCCTGGTTCATTAGGAGCAAGGTTTGTCTTTCAGGCTCAGCTCTGTGTTCAAGGAGATAATGCCACCTTTTTATCTTTTTTAATAGCTCTGAAGTCCACCCAAAGAACCTTGTTAATGGACTGATTAGAAATAATAACCAATAAATGGGAGGTTGCAAGGATTACTCTACCTTGTGTACATTTCCGCTCTTAAGAAATTGAGAACATGAACAGGAATTGTTCTTGAAGTCCACAGACAAAAAAAACAAAACACCTAATTGGTAGAAACGACCCAGCCCTTTCTGCTTTGAAGTAATTGGTGTTTCCATTCCACAGAATCCTTATTCCCAAATTATCATCTGGCAGTTTTTGGTTTCCTTAAGAAGCCCCATTCTAACTGGGTCTGCCTCACTTCCTAATAAAAGTATTTTAGGCCTGCAGCTAAAAAGCAGATTGCCTAGTTGGGCTCCCTCACAGGATCACTACTGCTCCAATTGCACAGCAGTAGAAACACTTAAGAGTTGTTCTTGGCTGCTCCTAGGAGAGTGCAGCAACTCTCAAATCCCTGCTTTGCTTGCACTAATTTTTATCAGCCTCCCCACATTGCATCAGGTGAGTAACGGCTCCTGGACTCTCCTGAAAGCTCTCCCATTGCCAAAAAGAAGTTTTCCAGCCAGCTTATGCAGAGTCAGTGCTCTAGCACATTTCAGGAAAGGAAAACACTACAGCTGAAATGCCACTTTCCCAGCTGAGAACGTCTCTCTCCAATACACACCCTCTTTTTTCCTCAGGCTGGCAATTTGTCTTCAGACAATGATTTCCAACACATGCCTCCTTTTCCCAGTGTGATTATCTTCACTCACACAAATACACACCCTTTCCTCCAGCTATTGCCATATAGCCTTGAGCCTGTGCATGTTTAATTGTGACAGGTAACCCTGTCTTCAGTTCAAGCACACTTACTCAGGCAAGGGGGCATGGAACTGTGGCAAGGGCCTTTTCTTTGCAGGCTTTTATCTAGCTTGGTCAGCATTTTTCTCCCTTTTAAGCTGCCTTCTTAAAATCCATTTTCTGGGGGTTGCCTGACCCTAAGAAGTCTGTGCTGATATCCAGTCAAGGAAAAGGCAGCAGCAAGCCATAGACAAATCTTAACAAATTGACAAAATCATTTTTTTTTTAAGTTTTAATCATAATAGAACAACTGCTTTAAACTTAATGTGAACAGCTTTAAGCTTGAGTGTAAAATACCTGATTTTTGGAAGTTGAAAACTGGAATATCTTATCTGACTCACTTGTCTCCGCTGCTAATTTTCAGTTTTAATTCAAATTTAACTTCCGTGGACCTCATCTCATATTTAAGAGGTTCCTAAGGGTGTGTAAGTACACTAATGTGCTTATGTCACATTTTAGTTTTTTCATTTTGCTTCATTTTGTAATTTTTGTTTGATAAATACATATACCCCTGCTACCTCTCATAGGTATGTAGTTTTTTGCAGCCCAGAAAGTATAGTGTGAAACTTTTACTGATCCCTACAAATTCCTGAGATGGCTGGGATCATTTGGGCATAGGGAAAGGTACTTTGGTACATTCATAAATTTGCTTTTTCTTTCAGTAAGAGTAGCATACCTCCTCTTTCAGGATGTATGCTAAAAAAAGTCTAAAACCTGACTGACCAACTCAAGTCAAGAAGTAGCAGCCCTGGGAATCCAGCAGACGAGCCAAATTAAAAGGTGAGAACAGGAAGCAAGGAATTATTCTTCCTTTCTAGAGGCAGTCAGGACAAGTTAACTTACATTTGAGCTATACTATTTCAGACAGCTAGGGAAAAGCGTTCACTTGATGTAGCATTTCTCCTTCCCCTCTCTAGAGAAGAAAAAGTTAAATAAGAATGCAATTTTCCTACCTAGAAAATGGGGGTGTGAGAAAAATTCTAGTTGCTTTCCCTTATAAACTACCTTTCTACATGCCAGGAACTCTAATCACATTAAATGATTAAAGCGGAAATAACTTCCTCTTCAGGTAGCTTTGTGTATTATTTTTTCACAATAAAACAGGGAGCCAGATTGGGGTGGGGTGGGGGAAAGAGGAGAGAGAAAGGCTATTGCAGTATACTTTCTTGTCCTGAAGCATAACTCTGGACAAATTTACTATGACCGAGGCACTTTCCACCACATATGGTTCATTACAATCTGAAGTTAGCAGGATTCACTGGGTTAGGGATTTTTCTTTTTTGTCCTCACTGTGAGTTGTGTTGGGGGGAAGGGGGTGCACGAAGGGAGACTCAGCCAATCTCATTGTACACATGTTGTACTCTGACAGTAAAGGTTGATTTGATTTGAAGTTGCTCAGCATGGAGATTGTAATCCTATAGATTTCTTCAGCAGTAAATAGGGTGACCCAAACCCTACTCCTTACTGAGGGAGTAAATAGTTTCCCTCCAATTTCCGCAGCCCACACATTCAGGAATTCAGTCTTTTTAACCTTCCTGCAAAACAAAAACAAACAAAAAAAATCAGTTTCCAAAGTGACTCAATGAGGAGAGAAAGCCTATGGATCGTACTTGAGAATTAAAAAGCTGTTCTTTTATAGCTCTGCGCCCCACTCCCCCGCCACGTGCACTAAGTTATTCTTTGCACCTCTCGTGAACTCCGTGATCGGAGCCGCGGTTAACTACGATTTCTCCCTCACCTCCACGCCCCCCCCCCCCCAAACCCCCAACTCCCGTTCACCAGCATTCATTTGGCCTTCCCAGGCTGTGAGAACGGGCTCCGCTTCTCGGAAAGATTAGGGAAGGGCGCGTTTTGGGTTTTTGTTTTCTCCTCCTCCTCCCTTTCCTTACAGGAAGAACAAACAACAACAAAAAAAGTCTCGTCGGTTTTTTTGTTTTAAAAAGAACGTATAAGTTTCTGTCAAATAAGGGCCGCGCTTCGCCAGATGCGCGAGGGGCCGTTGGCGCGTGTGCGTGTGAACCTTCATTCCCCCACATGTACTCCGAGGGGGTGGGGTGGAGGATGGAGCAGTATTTCCAAAGCGCCCACCCCACTCATGAGAAGAAGTCGCGGGTAGGATCCACGACAGTCCCCCCACCCCACCCCCAACCCTGGCAAAGGGGACGCCGCTGAGGGAAAGAAGCCCCCTTTCACGCCTCCCGGTGTTTTTTTTTTTCCCCTTAGTTTAGAGCGTCAGGCGGCGCAAAGATTTGGTGGGTTTATGATTATTTTGGTTACGATTATTATTATTATTATTATTATTATTATTATTATTATTATTATTATTATTATTATTATTATTATTATTTTGCAAGCAAGCGGCCGCTTAGCGCAAAGCTACGGGATCGGGATGAACAGGAGTGTGTGCCGCGAGAGAGGGGGGGGGGCGGGAGGAAGGAAGACTTAACCACGCGGTCCAGCTCGCCTTCCCCACCTGCTCGCCTTTACCCACCTATTGCCAACCCCCGCCTCGCCTTTCGCGCGTCTTGCCCTGCGGCTCTCCCCCCCCTCCCCCGCCCTCCCTCTCCCTCTCCCTCTCTCTCTCTCTCCCGGTGGGCCGTCGCCCCTCCTCTTGTCACCCTTCCAAGGAAAAGGCAAGCCTCCCTCAGGGACCCGAGGCGGCGCTGCCGCTTCCTTTCCAACCCTCCTCCTTAATGCATATTAATGGCAACGCATGCGCCGCCTGTCCCTTTCCCCTCCTCTTGTGGCCATGGGCTAGCGCGGAGAGGCATTCTGTTCAGTGGGGCTTGCGGGACGGGCGATCGGTTCTCCTCCTTCTCCGGCTGCTGGTTTTTTTTTTTTTTTTGGAGGGGGGTTAGTTCCTCCTCCTCCTCCCCCCCCCGCTCTTTTCTTGCGCGCGTGCGGGTTTTTCTTTTTTTGTTGTTGTTGTTGTTGCCGTCGTCTTCGTCTTTGGGTGTCGTCTATGTGCGTGTCGCGGGGGGTGGGGAGGGGGGCTCGCCCGGGTTATTGTGTGGCCTTGAGCGAGAGGTGGCAAGTGGTCTGCAAAGAAAGAGAGGCGGAGAAGGCGGGGGGGGGGGGCAGAAAGGGACCAGAATAACCATCGCTAGTTAAATATATATATATTTGGAAGAGAAAAAAAAAAGAAGAAGCAAAGGGGGGGGGCGCGCGGAAAGAGGGAGGCCAAGGAGAATAATAAAAGGAGGCTGGGCTGCTATTGAAAAGCTTTTGAAAAGTGGTGGTGTCTTCCCACCCGTGCGCACTTCGACTCGGGGAGTATATTAGAGCCGGACAGCGGCTGCCACAGCAGCGGCACCTTGGGAGCGTCTCTGAGCGAAGGGGACTCTGCAGGAAAGAGGCATGCTTTTATCAAGGAGACGACCGCAGCAGCTCACGGAGTTTTCCCTAAGTCTTTTTCTTGCGCTGTTATGCTTGCGAGTCAAGGTACGTTGCACATCTCGCTTCCCGCTGTAAAGCTTAAAACGACTTGGCTTTTTTTTCCCCCCCTTTTTAAGCCGCAACCAAAACAAAAAACCCTGAACAAAACGCATCTCGGTTCTCTCTCCTCTCTTTTTCTCCAGCGATATCATGAGTTGTAGTTAATTTTGCACAACCAAATTGGAGGGGGGGGGGGAGAAGAAAGGGGGAAGGGAGGTTCTTCAGGACTCCCGAAGAACCTCGTGCGTTGCAAACCCCGGGTTTTTTTTTGTTTTTGCCCCCTTTCCATTTTCATTAAAAAAAAAAAAAACTCTGTAAAATGCAACGTATCTTGGAACCGCCGGAGATTAAAAAAAAAAAACTGCCCCGCCCTCTTAGCAGATTTATTTAATTACCCCAAACTTTCCAAAAAATGCTCCGTTTCGCTTTTTCCTACAGGAGTTCTGCTTTTTTTCTTTTTTTTGCAAAGTGACTTAGAGTTTGTACGGTTGCATGGGTTAGATTTAAACTGTGGGGTTTGCCCTGTGTTCGGATTATTACGGGTTCGAAAGACAGGTTTTTCATGTCCCCTCCGGAGACTACATACAGCATGACACCCTTTTCCAATTCTGATTATTAGAATTTCCTTCCTTGCTTCTTGGAGGGAGAGGGAGAGAAGGAAGAAATGCATTGGTGTTCTTTAGTTTTCATAGCTTGGTTCGGTCCTTTAGAGGAAGGGTAGAAATCTGTCTTCCCCTTTGGTGTGTTTAACTGGTCGGTTTCTTTTTTACAACCTGGTGTGACTAAAACGCTGTTCCTCTCCCTTTTTCTGGGGAGGGTCTTCTTTCTTAACAGGTGACTCTAACATCGGGCCAGTTCGAGTTCGAGATCATATCCATGCAAAATATCAATGGAAAATTGCAGAATGGAAATTGTTGTGATGGGACCAGAAACCCAATTGATAAAAAATGCACCAGAGATGAATGTGATACCTATTTCAAAGTTTGCCTGAAGGAGTATCAGTCCCGTGTTTCTGCTGAGGGCGCTTGTAGCTTTGGATTTGGATCTACCCCCGTCATCGGTGGGAATACCTTTAATTTAAGATACAGCCGGAATAATGAAAGGAACCGGATTGTCCTCCCTTTCAATTTTGCCTGGCCGGTGAGTTGAAGCACTTAAGGCATCCTGCCACATTTTGTGTGTGTTTGTGTGTGTGTGTGTGTTTGTGTGTGTATGCATACAAAAGTGCTGGCTGCCTTCAATATTCTTGGTGGAGTTCTTGGCTTCCCTTTCTCTTTTCTGTCCAGCCCCAAGAACAAGGGTTTGGCAAGCATGTAAAAAACCTTCCCAAGCTAGAGACCTACTGCTTGGTCCGATTTAGTTTAGGAGGAATAGGAGCCTCAAGTAGCTTGTACCACCTGAAGTATATAATGTACTCTGTGTGCATTTGCTCTAAGCTCTTTTGAAAGTATGCGTGAGTTCCCTTGAGAATGACAAGAGGTCACAAGTTCATGTTACCGATTTTATTTTTCTTCCCAATTAGTTCTTGTGCCCAGGAAAAAGGGAGGGGCAATGCCTCTCCCGGTCCCTTGGTGAAATGTAGCTTGCCAGAAAAGGGCATGTTTAGGGAGTCATCCCTAAAGGATTCTCTGTATTCTCCCTGGTACTCATCGGAGCTGTTTGCAGGGCCACCTTCTCAAAGAACCTTGGATGCTTATAAAGCAGAATGAAAGCCAGAGACCCACCTTGCAAATCGTCTGATCTCCCCTTGTAAGCCACCATTGCTGCTGGCCAGGCCAAAAAAATCTCTCTCTCTCTCTCTCCTGGAATCATGGTTCTTTAGTGTTAACTGGGATGTCTATTCTAAAACACAAGGATTTACATTGGGGAAGGTTTGAACTTTAACTTTTGGAGCAGGCCCAAGAGTTGGCTGTAAGATATTGGCTGTAAATAATCCAGTCCTTAAATAAGTGATGAATCCATCTGTGCCTTATGCATATCGCTTGTTCTTGACCAAGCTTCTTTGAAGTTGAGGTGGTTGATTTATTTCAGAATATGCTATCTTTGCTCAGGAATGGTATTTAAATAAAAAAACAGAAAAGCAACAACTTTGGCCAGACATGTGGGTTCCATCTAACATCCTCATTGAAGATGCTGAACAGTTGTAGGTGGCGAGTAGTTTCAAGGAGCGTTTCCTGGTTACTTGGAAATCCTGATGAAAATCTGCCTCTTCGTGAAGAGGATCCCCCCTCCTCCCATTGGCTCTTTGGAAGAGATGCAACTATGAGGTCTCAGACACAAGATTGTGTTTTCTTATTGGCTCAGATTACTAAATTGGAGGCAGCGGAGAAGTCAGTGGGAGGGATGCCCAAGCCACCGCCTCTGCTCTCTAGTAGTTAGGAGCAGAATTTGCCAAATGCTGCTGTACTGCCTCCTGCCTGCCTATGTGGTAAAAATCTTCAGCTCACTCGTTTTTTCTCATCATTTGCCCCCCTCCCAACTTTTTTTCTTTGTTTTTGGGGTGTAGGTGGGTGGGGTTGAAACCAAATTCATGTATTTAAAAAAGATATTACAAGGAATAAGTAGAAAAATGTACTCTCTTCAGGATTCAGTAGGTTGAATTTTACTGGGAATAAGATAAAAACATGCCAACCATGCCATCAAAGTGCTATATTTTTAAAGGGGTGTGTGACAATGTGTGTGTGTGACAATGGTCAGGGACTGCCACGTTTTTTTTATTTTAAAAATTGGACTTTTTCTCTTTAAATTGAGAGAAGTCTGTTGAGGATGCCTTGTTAAAAAAATCTGTTTCAGGTGTCATAAAGCAAATTGTTTCTGTCTAATTACCAAACAGTGACTTGCACTTTTGCAAAAAGGGAGCAAGGATTGAAATTGGTTGATATGGGAAATTTGGTGGAACACAGCTCCCACACATTTATCACATAATCACTGTCTGTATTTGGAACCAGGTCTAACTGAGGTCAGTGCAGCTTACTTCCAGATAAATCACCATAAAAATTGGACCTTTGATCAGGAAAGAAAGTGGAGATTATTTAAAACTAAAGTGCACTTGTCTCCCCGTCTTTATGTTCTAGCACGGCCATGTGCTTTGCTTTTCAACTCATTCAGAAACACCAACCTGCCTTTTGCAGAAAGCATTTAGAATTAGAGACGACTTAATCTTATAGCTTAAGCTCTTTGTCTCACCAGGTTCCTTAGCAGGTGTCTCTGCCTCTAAAAGTACTAGCTGTTGATATATATATATATTTTTTTTTGATTTGCCAGATAAAGCATTTCTTACCTCAGCATTATGATGGACAGTATATGCAGGCAAAAAGACACACCGAAATCGATTTCGGGTTGGCAAAATATTCCTGAACCAGAAATCTGATTCAAATTAAAGCTAGTTTCTACAGCGTGGACAGAGGTTGTGTTTTCCTCTAGTGCTCCGGAGGCGTGGTGCTTTTTTCCTCCCTTTCATCCATCTAGCTGGGCGTATTTGTTTTCCTAATACAGCTCTCACTTTTGTTGTTACCTGTCTTCTGCAGGCGTGCTCCAGGCCTCATGCCACCTCTTGTTCGTTAAGTGTTAGGCATGGCCAAGTCATCTGCAGGCATGTTTTGGGATATTGAGCTACAAAGGCAATCCATGGCATAACTTGCACAACTCTAAACTTGTTAACCAAGGAAGTTGGGAGGCTTGGGTGAGATGTCTACTCTGTTACTCATATAACAGTTATTGTCTTCTTTCTGGTGATGCGTAGGGAAACTTCCTAGCCTGTAACAAATTGGGCAGTTTTTTGAAAGTTGGTGTAAGCCAGTGTTTTTACTTTACCCCTCACCCCCATTTCAACAGTAGGAGACACATAAATGTGAATTGCTGTTGCTTTGAGTGATGTTGAGGGAAGCCTTTCTAGCTTGCTTTTAACAAAATCTTGCATCTTCTATTTACTGAAAATGTTTCTCCCTGTGGTCTTTTCAGAAACTACACTTGCTGCAATAATATTGTGTGACACAGCATTTTGTCTACCACTTTTTCCTAATAAACCACGAACTCTTGTTTTCTTTGAGTGAATCAAAACAGTTATTTTTGTTTTGTTTTTAAAGGGAGGTGTAGGAAGTAAGTTTGAAATTTGTTAAAACTTCCCATTGTCTGGTCTGGATTTTGATGTAAGCTGGATGAGTAATGATTGTGGGGACAGAGGGCTGTACATTTCCTTTTAAGAGATTGGAGATTTGAATTAGTTGCTAGGAAACAGGACAGCAAATCAGCAGGAAGGAAATAAAGGGAGCCATCCAGAACACCACACCTGCAATCATGGCTAAAATTAAGTAGGGGGGAATGGAATTGGCTAACATTTAGAAAGCTTGACCAACACTTCAGCCAAGGAGCATTCTATGTATTGATTATAAAATCCCACAAAGATGCTTAGTCTCTAAAGAGACTCGATTCTTAGCTCTTATTCCTAAGAATGCATTTGTTTAAAGAGCTCAATCCAGTGCACAAATAGATTTATCTCCAGTATTTGAACTGTATTGATCCATTGAAGTAAGCCATTATTAAATGAGGGGAGCATTAAAAGTTTGCCTTTTCTTTTGATGAAAGGTCCCATCTCTCCCTCTGTCCCAGGAGTTTTGGGCTTTTCTAAAATATATTCCTCAGAACTTGAAACAGTTCATTTTTTTTTAATCCCTGATGAATTTGCTAATATATAAAGTGTATCAACCTGTTGGATTTGGAATAAGGTGCTAAAGTACTTTGGCTGGCTGCAAAAAAAGTTTAAGATGGGAGTTTTAAATGCCTTACATTTGTATGAACCTTTGGGTTGGAAAAGCCTTGGAAGCAGGCCAGCTGGTTATTTCAGAAGATTCTTTTACAAGTAGTTTGCAAAATGGTAAAATTCCTTCAGAATCTGTTGTTGGGGAAAACTATCATTTTGCTGAGTTATGCTAGGCTTTTATTGTAGTCAGTCGCCTAAAAGCCTTTTGTCTGGTCTATCAAAGGGTCTCTGACCTAAAGAGGAAGGAAAAAGAAAAGCTATCAGATTATCTCGGAGCTTGTGAATACTTTCCCATTCAGACTTTGCAAGACCAGTCACTCCACTTAAAGTAACTTTCTGAAAGTGAAATTTGCAGCACCAAGCATAGAATTAAGCAGTGTTGGGCAAACCTACATTCACTAAAAGGACTGAGTACATCGTGGGAAAGACTGTGGAATGTGAAAATACTTAAGTTATTTTTAATGAGAGGCTACAGCAGAGCAGGTAATTGTTTTCATGGAGTTGGTTACTTTTCCAACTTGGCTTCATCCCTGTCAGATTGTAGCTCATTGGGCGAGGTTGGTAACCCACAATGTGTAATGCTTTGTAATCTGATTGTAATACTTTTTTACACCCTTTGCCCATGAGTTTAACTTGGAATGTATGCATTTTTAAACTGATTTGTTTATTCCCACATCCTCATGCAGCAAAAACAAAGGCCCACTGTAGGTAAATAAGGCTATACAGTTTTAAAGATAACCTAATTCTGTAGACGATTGGACTGCTTCTTGATTTCCCCTTGAGTACATTATTCAAAAATCAATGTAGGTTATGCATTTATGCACACTAGCAAATAAATGCTTTGGGTCACTTCTGATCAGGCTGAAAGTCCATCAGCTTGTGCTTTTGGATAAGTACATGAACAACCTCTGCTGTAAGAAAGATGACAGCATTTTTTTTAAAAAAAAAGAAAAGTGATATTCCACCTGTGGTATTATGCTCATCATGCTGGAGTTAGAAGACTTTGACTACTTAGCTTCTTTATTGTAGTATTGTATTGGAAATGACGTGGGTGAAACGAGAAGGTGCCAAAAGAAAGCTAAAACGAGAAATGGAATCATGCGGTGCAAATGACCCAACGTGTAATAAAATGGCTAAATTGGCTCAAATAAATGCCCCAATATTTTGTTTGGTTTTCTTGTGGAGAATACCGCCACTACTATCTCTTTTTCTTCCCTTTTCTCCCTGTTTGAGGCTTACTGGGTGCAACTCTTTAAGTTTTTGCTTGGCTGGCTGCTAAGTATTCTGTCTATTAACCTTGTAACCCTGTCCTAACTAGGGCATTAAATAATCAAAGCTGTGCTTTAAGCAGGTAGTGAAGCTAAATGCTGAGAATAGCAGA